AACGGCATTGAGGAACAGGACGGACCAAGCACGAGACCTTTAAAGAGATTCTGAGCCTTTTAGAGATTTCCCTGGCTGGATTGTTGGCAAATTACGTTGATGAAAATTACGTTACGGATTAAAAGGAACGAGTTTAATTAATTCCTGGATAATCCGTGACGATGACAATGGTGTATATCCTTATCATAGTAATCTTTAAATATTTGTATGCTTTCATTTGGGATGGATAATTGAACTGTTTGCAGCTAATTAACTAAATGTTTATTTATTTAAGCTTGGTTTAAACTTGTAATAATTTAATGTATTATGGAAAATCAATAACATAATTAAATCATTCATTTAATTTGCAGGTATTTGCATCTTTACATTCCTGTATCGTGTAGGTTTTTCAGTCTTATCTGAATCTATATCAATATAGTAAATTACATTGTTTCGGATATTTCCTGCGTACTCATTCATTCCTTATATTAAAGAATTCATTAACAAGGAGGTAATTCCTATTAATAAAGCACTTAGCTATTAATAAAGTTACAGAGTTTTTAATGTTAAGCTTGGCGTTATCTTGCTTACTTAAGTTATCTATCTTTTGTAAGACTTGAAAAGTGCTCGATGGCTTAAGAAATTTCTAAGATCTTCTAAGTTGTATAAGCTTAAAACTTTTTCAGATTAAATGCTAAAGACAGTTTTGATTTTGTAATCTTCAACAATAGAATTCTGATGTCTAGGAAATTATAGTAAGTGAATTTGGCATGACATTTTATTGAATTTAGTATAAGATTATTGATTACTCTAAAAAGGTGCATTTAAAACAAACTAACAGTAAGGTAATTTTACGAGCTATCATCAGCTTGAGTCAGTGTTAGGTTGTGTGCTGAAAAAAATAGAAATCCAAGGATAAATTGAAACATGAAAATGTACCATTTGTTTATTCTATTAATTAGAATCAATGTTTAGAGTAAATTTATTTAACACAAAAAAGATTAAATGGTAATATTATAAATGAAGGTCAGTTTGAAGGACCACGTCAAATCTATATTAATATATAAATCTACAGTGGTTTTTACGGATGTTCTGTTATGACTACTGAACCATGCATCCGATTGACTTGAAACTTGGTATCCATGTAGAAAATACACGTAATTAATGGATAGGCACTCATATGAGTGTTGGACTCTCTAATAATAATGATAATAAATAATATTGTTATGAATTTTAAATGCCTAGTCGGCTAGTATATGTATATATTTATCTTTCATCCTAAAAAATATGTGATAAACAAAAAACGTATTTTATGAGTTGAACATTGAAATTTATGTTCATGAAGACATCTTTAAATATAATTGACCGAAAACAAAGACCCTGAGCGATTTCAATACAATCAGCAAATGATCAAATCAAATCGTTGCTAAATGATACTTTAGCGGAGCTCTGTGTAAAGTATCCGCTTCATTGGGGCGTCACAATCGGATGCGCAATCTAGTATCGCGCCCTCTTCCGGACATAAATAAAATCGGACGACATTTATTTCATAACAACGGAACTGTGATAAGACGTTTCGTGTGCTTCCGCCAAGTTATCAAGTTATGAAATTGTTTAGTTATGATTACTTTGCGTGATACAAGTTCTTAGAGAGTAGTAGTAGTAGTAGTAGTAGTAGTAGTAGTATGCATGTAGTGAATCAAGACTACCACCAGAATTTTTTTTTTAGAAAATTATTTGAATTTACTGCCGCCCTTAGAGATAAACAAATATTTAGGTAAAATAAATAGTGCTGGTGTAGAAATTAATTTGCGTGATACAAATTCTTAGAGAATAATCTAACATGCACGCAGTGAATCAAGACTACCAAAAGTTTTTTTTTTTTTTAGAAAATAATTTGAAGTTACCACCGCCTTGAGAGATAAACAAATATTTAGGTAAAATAAATGATGCTCGTGTAGAAAAATATTGCCCAAATTATGTTTCAATTATTTTACGCTCATCAAACGGGTATCAATTTTTTGTGGAATTTTAACTTTATTCAATTTACATTTATGAGTCACGATCAGATTCAGTGCATATTAATGTTTTGATCTGAAAAAAATATGCGTTTTCTGATTTTTCTAACAACAACATTTAATATGCCGCAAACACCAACCAACAAAAAAATACTTTATTAAATTCGCAGCGTTTCACCCCCAAATTAATGGACACTCTAAACTCAAGGTGAAAGAGCTTTTAAATCTCGGACAGCGGCGCCCACACACGGCAGACTCCCGTTACACATTAGCTAAATTGTTAGCTTCCACGACATAATCTTTTTAGCCTTTGAATCGTTATTTTTACCAGAAACGTCAGCAACAGTTACTTATAAAAGCTGAAATAATTTAATAAAGGCGTTATATCTTTCTCGGGTCACGTAAGAGGGCCTTCGGGGGGAAAATTACATTTTGTTTGGCCACGTCCACGATGCGACATGGGACAACTCAGTTAACGAGTGTTCAGCATTCTCGGCGTTCTTTCATATTTCGTACAATCTCTTTACAGATATGTGGGGGTTTGCGAATCGTTCGTAGATTACAAATACAGTACGACTAAATCTAACTTCTTATTTTTGATCGACTTTCGGTCAAGTGTTGGATCCCAAACCCTATAATAGTGTTCGATTTATACTAAATATGTATACTACTCTTACAGTAAGTAATAATAAATAGCCTAGTATAATATTGTTACGCGCTGGGGTTCGTGATAAATAATATTTCACCAAAGTACAACTTGAAACTGTATTCAACATTTAGAACACTTAGAACACTCAAAAAACACTTTACAACTCTCAATTTGCTTCTTCCGCTTCGCTTCAGGTGATCCGTTCGCTGTTTCGCTTCGAGTAGTTCCGATTACTGACTGACTGCGTGCCATCTCTACAACGCTTTTATGGCCGATACCTCATCCCTAGAACTATTGAGAATATTCCACACATCTCTAGTAGTCGTTTCCGCTTTCTATCAATAGATGGCGTTGTACTTCTCGAGCGTTCTAGGGGCTACTAGATCCTTCGATATTCANTTCAGGTGATCCGTTCGCTGTTTCGCTTCGAGTAGTTCCGATTACTGACTGACTGCGTGCCATCTCTACAACGCTTTTATGGCCGATACCTCATCCCTAGAACTATTGAGAATATTCCACACATCTCTAGTAGTCGTTTCCGCTTTCTATCAATAGATGGCGTTGTACTTCTCGAGCGTTCTAGGGGCTACTAGATCCTTCGATATTCATTAGACTATTCGGCGATAGATGGCGTTATTCGTACACATATACATTCTCACACATACATTTACAATATAAACAATAGCAGGTGTTTATTGTTGAAATAATAATAGAAATGATTTGATTGCAGTCCCTAACTGAAATCGGTTTACATTCAGGATATAATTGACCAATATGTTTAAGTTAGTATTGTAAATACAGAGAAACAAAGATAATTACATACAACATAGTTGACAACATAATGAGGAAAACTATTTTCAATGAGACATTGCCAGGCCGCAGTTAAGAGCGTACCTGCTATATAAATAAAAAACTTTTCGTTCCCATCAGCGTACCGTGCGAGGGACCTACGTCCATTATTTCAACATTTGCAAAGTTGCGGACATCCGTTCTACTCAACTTTCCTACATGAGGGTTCCGTGAATAAATGCCGTAACAAAATTTACAAAATGTTAATTTCAACCCGTATAACGACGAATGAGGTAATTCTGACACGGTCCAGACCGCAGCGAATTGGAATCGGGAACTTATAGAAATGCAAATTGAAGCATATTTGTTTAGGTCTAGTGGATTTGTATTAGATTATCCTGGTAGAAAAAAAAGTGATTTGCAGAATTTATTGTCAAGCTTACATTAATATCACTAATAGTATACATGTATATTCGTATTATGAATGTAAGACGTATTGTAAGCCCCTACGGGATTACTACGAGTATGTTCCGTTAAAAGACCTAAAATTTAAACCTCATATTCAGAGGCGGGCAGCACTAATTTTAAGCACTTGTCTATACCATATAATATTATAAAGAGGAAAGATTTGTTTGTTTGTTTGTATTGAATAGGCTCTGAAAGTACTGAACCGATTTGAAAAATTCTTTCACTGCTTGGAAGCTACACTATTTCCAAGTGACATGCTATAATATTTTTTGAAAAAATTAGGGATCCTTACTAAGACCCCAATAATGTAACCCAAGGTGTAAAAAAATTACCTTAAATATTCTTTACATCGCGTGCCCTGTGAAAACTATTGATGATAGAATAAAATACTGTACTACGACTTTATAGAGCACATTATTATGTACAAAAAGGGTCGCGACAGCATATATCTATTATAATATATAATAGTTATGCCGCAATAAGTGTTCTTTTATTTAAAAATATAAAAAAACGTCAAATATCATAGAAATTTTTGTTAAGCACCCGAGCGGAGCCGGAGCGGGCCGCTTGTCTTGTTTAAAATGAAAAAGGGAAAAAACTTACATTACAATAATCTGTATTACACAACAAAATCATTTTGATAGCAGTTTCGAAAACGTTTGATCTTTTGATGTGGTCATGAAAGGAGAATACATTTTTGGGTTTCTAAATACGAATACAGTATAAATCCTTTATGTGGACTTTCAAACAATGGTGTGGTTTTGTGGTTAATCTGTTATTTCAGACCAAAATCGGACAATATATGATCATGAGGTTAGTTTTGTCGAATAATGGCAGAGCATAAGGATCTATTTTTTATTGTCTACCTATATTTACGAATTTCATTGTTTTTTTGGTATTAATCTAAGGAACAATCCCCTATGTCTTCCGAAATAATCTATAGTTCGAAAGAGGGGAAAATGCAATTTTCCGTAATGCCTTGTTTTAATTTCCAACCGTAAATAATAATTTGGTCAATTTTCCACAATTTCGGTTGCGTGTTCAAAGTTTTTATTACAATTTTATTGTTATTTAGGCGTGTTTGTTCCTTGTTCCAGATTACATCGGAGGTTTTAAAGGAGCCGGGCGCTAATGTGAGTTTCCGAAATTCAGTTTTGTTTATTGTACGTAAAATGTAATTGAATTTCTCGATACTCTGAATTTTCAAAAGATAATTAGTTAGATTTAAAAAAAAAATGTTATTCGTTCGAAGAGTTGTTTTAATAATATAACAAATATGGAAGCAGATAACCGAGGGTACTACCGTTCAAGGAAAACTAGCGGTCGCCGGAAGTAATCTGTGCAGGAAATTTTAGTCAACAGGAAGCTGCCCAAACTAAGGGTATTAACGAACTTTTATGAGCGGTCTAGCCATTTAATCGCGAGTCAAGAGCTAATCCCGGTAGTTGGCGGACTCAGAGCGGCAGCGTCTCTGAACAACACACCTGAGACCGGACTTTTTATTTTTGTCTCACATTTCCACCTGATTTCAGCCCACAGAGGTTGCAGCGGCGGGCTGAACTTTGTCGGGCGTCATAAATTTATTTAACGGCCCGAAGGCAATAAGAGGCGGAGTGTAAAAAGAAAAATACGATACCAACGTGCCTAGCCGTTATTGCAATTAAACAGTGAAAGTAAATCTTTCAATACGAGCAGCGAACGTTCGCCTCCCGCTTCCTGCCTTAATTTATAGCTTTGTTTTAGTCAGTGCCGCATCCCACTGATGGATTGCGATGTGTTTGATTAAAAAAACCCTCAACTCGATCTTTACCATTCCATAACATAGCTTGATCGACACTGAAGACAGTAGACACATTACTGGTGGTAGGACCTCTTGTGAGTCCGCGCGGGTAGGTACCACCACCCTGCCTAGTTCCGCCGTGAAGCAGTAATGCGTTTCGGTTTGAAGGGTAGGGCAGCCGTTGTACGAATTGCTTTGAGAATCTAATACTGAGTAACTACAATTAGCTTGTAATTTTTCTTCGTTTGGTTTTTTAGAAACTAATCAGAATTGTTTTCAATGTTTTTATTTTTCAAATACAAGTCAAGTTGGATTTGCCATACTCGTCGTTAAATGTCCTACAAGAAAAGTTTGCTTCAAATTAAATTTGAGTCGCGATTACTGTATAATGTAAATATGTATAAATTTGCGAATCGAAAATTCACGCCAAGGAAAAAGGCAGAAAACGTTTGCAGCGACCGTCTGGATCAAAGAGAGATGAAGTAATCGAAGCGAAATAAATCAACACAGAACAAATTAAATACGTATGTTGAGGAATTGAGGATGTGAGCCAATACGATGGTTGTAGAGAGACTTCTTCAAATTCAGTAAAAGCAAAAGAAATGAACGACATAATGCGAGGAATCTTTTACGTTTGAATACACCCATCGCAGATGCTAAACGCTTGATTTTCATATTGAATTTTTAACGCTTTCGTTTAATAATCGGGCTTTCATTGTTAAATATCGCGACGGTAAAGGAATTCATATTGTATTTTTGTGTCGATAAGAATTACGGCATCGTCTCAAATACGTAAAAAGCAACTGTAAAAGTAGCGCGCTATTTACGTTTATATACGTGTAACCTCTATACGATTTATCTTAAAAGAGGTTAATATGTTATTATTTTTAGTCCGAGATTGTAGTTATTATTTTTATTTAATTCTATTATAAATGAAATGTTAATGCAATGTAATGAAGTGTAATATGGATGCAAAATAGGAAGTAGACGAAAAAAAAAAAAAAGATGACTAATGGAATTTTGAATATTGAAACATCAAAAGAAGAAACATTAGAAATATAAAAGCAATTTGAGATTTTGAAATATAAAAAAACATACAAAAGTGGTTAAGCAATAGCTTTAAATGTTGTTTCTCTTTATAGAGCAACTCAATTTGTGCTATAGTTTTACTAAGCTAAACTGTATTTTGATGTAAATAAAATAATACATTAAGTATATACGTACTATGAAAACGAAGAATAAAGACATGTAATTGTATCACTCATATACTTTCCATAAAAAATACTATTGTATTTTTCATTAATTTAAATCGTTATTATAGAGATAGTTACGTGTTTATCAATTGTATAATAACAAAACACAGCCGATAGGTAGTATATATCTCACATAGCAATAAAATTTGCTTGTAGAGTCGGTCGTTATTTTTGCATTTTAAGAAAGATAACTTGATGCTTAAGAAATAAATAACCTATCAATAACAAGTAGTACACTAAGCAACAATTTTAACTATTGTATAATAAATTAATCTCAAAATAATTTAACTGATATTTTTGTAAGAACAACAATAACCGCTTCAGCTAGTTTTTAAAATAAGATTCTTCTCCCTTTAGAATGAATGAATTAATTGATAAGTTAATTTTCATTAAATTTGTTTCATTCTTTAAACATGTTTGAAAAATTATAATTTTGAATATAATATCGTTCAGATTTGAGTAGTTAGTTATAAGGGCTTGTGCTGAAAATCGTGCATATTCTGCGCTAATACCAAAATGAAGGGACGAGTTTTAAATTCAAATTATTTAATGGTCCGGAAGGAGGTATTTCATTTTCCATTCGAATCGTTACGTAATTTACTACTGCGTTTATAAACCTTTTGTTTAAAAAACCGTAAAATATGTTAAACGCGTTGCTGTTTAAATACCCGCCACATCGTTGTTGTTTTCGCACAGAATTCCGTATTGTTTTAAATAAGCAGTGACTCTAGACACAGGCGCGTTCTATTAGTGTTAAAGCTTCTAGAAAGTACAAAATGACTTACAAAATACTGACAAAATCACTGGTGGTAGGACCTGTTGTGAGTCCGCGCGGCTAGTACTGGTGGTACCACTGCCTATTTCTGTCGTGAAGCAGTAATACGTTTCGGTTTGAAGGGTGGGATAGCCGTTGTAACTATACTTGAGACCTTACAACTTATATCTCAAGGTGGGTGGCGTATTTACGTCATAGATATCTATGGGCTCCAGTAACCACTTAACACCAGGTGGGCTGTGAGCTCGTCCAGACATCTAAGCAATAAAAAAAAAGAAACTGACAAAACAAAATCATGCAGTTTAGTTTGTGTATATCTTATAAACAGACGTTACTGTTCACGGCCAGAGATGTAAAAGGTAGGGGACCTCTGTGACCATGCATTCACCACTTTCAGATGTCAGGGAAAAGTTTGGATTCTACAAAAATAATGGGATTAGCAAATTTATTTTTTCTAATTATTTCGTTCGTTATTTTTTAATTCAGTGTATAGTGATAGCACCGTTATAGCCCATAGCACCGATATAATATAATCAATGTTTATTAAGAAAAATTGTCTTAGTTTTTAATTTATCACGAAACAACATTTAGTTTTTCCTGAAGGTTCGAACTACTTCCAATAATAAAATCTAAAACAAAATAAAATGATAGACAAAACTATTTCAATTAGGCCGATGGCTTGACGCGACAAAAGTACAGACAGCACAAAACCGTTCAAATATTCATGGGGCTCGGTAATTCATGGTATCGATTTCCCTTGAATGCGTTATGGTACTAGGGTTGCCATACATCACTCATATAAAGAGGAATGTATTAAAGTTCAATTTAATACTGGTTATAAAATGTTATACACTTCAAGCACTCTTTTTTTTTTTTATTGCCCTTGTAGGCAGACGAGCATACGGCCCACCTGTTGGTGAGTGGTTACCGTCGCCCATGGACTTCAGCAATGCCAGGGGCAGAGCCAAGCCGCTGCCTACCGCTTAATACTCTCCACAAGCCTCGTTTGAAGAAGGACATGTCATAGCGCTCGGGAAACCCCGTGGAGGGGAGCTCATTCCATAGCCGGATGGTACGTGGCAAAAATGGATGGTACTCAAGCTAAAAAAAATCTCTTATGGCAACGCATATGGAAACATAAGCATACGAGTCGAGAACAAGTTGATTTAGATGCCGAATGATAATATTGACACAATTGAGATCGTAAGCGCAAAAGTGGCCTAACCCATAATTTTTCATAATCGTGCTTATAATTATGTATATTACAATTTATTTAAAATCTAATAAATTTTGATGTGAAACCTGCCTATCTATAGTTTCACCCACAGATAACAGATGACTTTGTAAACATTATTTTTGAGCGTATTGTTTTATTGCCTATTCAAATTCAAATTCATGGAAACTTAAACCTCATTGCTCTATAATAACTATGGTAAGCTTAGGCCACTTTTGCGCTGACGGCCTCAATTATAGAATCCAGATACCGTGATATAGCAATTGAGGTAATATCTATTAAAATTACTAAAAGCTTACTAAAATTTCCTAGTCTACTTAAGTAGATTTTAGGTCACAAAGTACCTACGAGTATGTATGCAATATATCGACGCTTGAAAGGCAAACGTGACTAAGCGACAATAACTGCTTTGTACATAAATGATAGGCAATAACCATATTCGATGCGCAAAAAAATATATTTCTAGATCTATTAAAATCATTTCAATCCTACAGCTACTAGCTAGGTTCTACTACAACTAGATTCGTTAAAATAAATTTTGTTTTCAGGTATTTCAACATTAAATTAGTCTACTGTAAAGTTCATGCATCGTCGCTTAGTCACGTTTGCCTTTCAAGCGTCGATATGTATATATGTAAGGAAGTGTGCAATATAGTAATAATCTTTATGTATACTAAACACGTGAATAATAATAGCGAAGTATAAAATAATCTTATCAAAACCTTCACCTAATCGAGTGCCGTAAATGTTTACATGCGTATTTCAAAACCGTGAATTCATCTTAACGACTCCTTTTAGTAATAGCATTCAAATTTTATTTACTCAGTATTTGTTTTTGAAAGGGTGATAAAACATAAACGGCCAACGAGAATTCGTGTTTTATATCTTTTATTTTATCTATATGTTATATTTTTGAATAGTTTGTTGTAATTATTGTGGCCATAGATCCAGAAATTATAGAAAACATCATCATCATTATTAACCTAGAGACGTCTACTGCTGGACATAGACTCAACCCCTAAGGTTCGCTACAATGACCGGTTCTCCGCATCCAGCGAAAACCCTAAGCGGGTTGTTCGGCCACCTCATGA